TCGAAATTTAAAAAAATATTTTTTTTGCACACAAAAAGAAAGGATAATCCGATTTTGCTCCAACTTTGCACATCTTAATATTTGCGTCAGTGCTATGTCAGGTGCGAAAATGGACAATATCGGTCCACTCCACCAAGTACCTCCCCCACAAATAGTCAAAATGCTTAATAATTACAACACCTATAAAATGTAATGTAAGAGTCCGAATATATTCAAATTTCACACATCCCAATATTTGTATTCACCCAAAGTTTGGTGTTAAGATGGACAATATCGGTCCACTCCTCCCACACAAAATGTGAATATTTTCAAAGAAAATAATTTATTGCGGAGAAAGATAAAAGATAATCTGATTTTGCTCCAACTTTTCGAATCCTAATATTTGCATTAGTGCTAGGTCAGGTACAAAAATGGACAATATCGCTGCACTCCATCAAGTACCTACAAATGGTCAAAATTATGAATAATTACAGCTCTTATAAAATGTGATGTAAGAATCCGATTGTCTTCAAATTTCACACATCCAAATATTTATATTAACCCAAGGTCTGGTGTTAACATGGACAATATCGGCCCACTCCTTCTAGTACCTCCCCCACTAAAGGTCGAATTTTTCAAAAAATATTTTTTGCACAGAATTTTGCAAATCCTAATATCTGCGTCAGTTGTAGGTCTCGTGCCAAAATGGATGATATTGGTCCACTCCATCAAGTGCCATCAAGGGTCAAAATTTTGAATAACTCTAATTCTTAAATAATATGGTTTAAGAGTCTGCTTGTCTTCAAATTTCACTACTTTTTTTATGATCCCAAGATCTGGTAGTAAGACGTAATTAATCGGCCCACTCCTTCTGGTACTTCCCCCACAAATGGTAGAAATTTGCAAAAAAATATTTTCTGCACAAAAAGGGAAGCGATAATCTAATTTTGCAAATCCTAATATATGCATCAGTTCTAGGTCTCGTGCCAAAAATGGATGATATTGGTCCACTCCATCAAGTGCTTCTCCCACAAAGGGTCAGAATTATTTTATAAACTCTAATTTTTAAAGAATAAGATTTGAGAGTCCGCTTGTCTTCAAATTTCACACATCCTACTATTTTTATGAACCTAAGATCTGGTAGTAAGACGGAATATATCGGTGCACTCCATCAAGTACCTCCCTTACAAACGTTCAAAATTTTGAATATCCAGGAAGCTCATAAAAAGTGAAATCAACATCCGATTCCATTCCAGAAATGGTTTATCTAAAATATTTCCATCAACACTGTTATAAAGATGGTAGAGATCGGACCATTTCTTTTGCTACCTGCCCCACATAAGGTTCAAAATTTTGAAAAACATAACACCCAAAGAAAGCCTAATAAGCATCCAACTCTCTTCAAATTTCAGACATACAAACATTTTTGCTAACACAAGATCTGTTGTGAAGATGCTATATATCTGCGAACCCCTCTACCTCAGCCACAAAGGGACATAATTTTCAATACTTTTATCTGTCATAAATTGCGAAACAACTCAGCGATTCTTTACAACTTGCTACACCTAAATATATGTCTCTCAACAAATTTATGATTTCCCATAAATTGGAAATAAATTTTCTATTTTTTATTATTTATTTAGGTCCGATATGAAATGGAAAATATTGACCCACTCTTTGTAGCAAATTTATTTTTGTACCGAATCCCATCACTCATTCCAAATTTGAACCTGGTACGCGTAACTGATTAATATATATGTGCATATAAAAATTACATTACATTTTTGTAGGTACTTCCAATTCTGATGCAATATCTCCAGTTCCAAGTGGGATTTCAAAAATGTATATGGCCAATGTTAATTTCGGACGATGCTATAGTATATTTTTCAGAAAAAATCTGTTTAGCATCTTTTGAATCTAAAAATTACGAACACACCAGCTAACAATCAAACGTACATACATTCTCCCTTTTTTTGGATACAGATAAGGAATAAGATTTTTTAATACTCTTAAATAAATATTTATAAATAATTTTAAACACTCTTACCAGTCGTTGTACAATAGATGATATAATACATTTTAAATCGTTGGCGCTTGCAAAAAGTTGGTCCTACAGCAGGAGCTACTAAAGGTAGGCCTCAACAATATGGCCCATTCGACAGAAAGGAAATCAAGTAGTGTCTACACACACACATACACAGGGTTGAGACATGTGGCGTAAACACAAAAAATGTAAACAGAGAGTGAAACAAATACACACACACACATAACTACATCCATTACTCTCGTCCAACAATTGACTAATGCCGAGACAATATTTGTTGGGAACGTGGACCTGCAGACCTAACGTGAAACTTTTTCTGTAAAATAGTTATCTACCCTAAACTAGCCTCTAGCATTTGTATGTTTTATATCTTTCTCAATAAATCGTATCTTCCAACTGTTAATTTGTTCCAGAATCTACTAGTTTTCAATTTCTTTTTTGTTTCCGATATCATAAAGAAGGAATTGAAAAAAAAATTATCATTATCAAAAATTATATCATATTTTATGCAAAATCGTAATTTCCATATTCATATCAGGATTCTTGTTGCGAGACATATTTAGATATGGCAAGTTGTAAAGAATCTCTGACTTATTATCGCAAGTTATGGCAGGTAAAAGTATTGATATATAATCCCCACAACAGTTTTTGTGTTAGCAAAAATACTTGTATGTGTGAAATTTGAAGAAAATTGGAGGCTTATTTCGCTTTCATTCAACGTTGAAACCTTTGTGGGGGAAGGTACCAGAAGGAATTATCCGATCTCTACCATCTATAAAACAGATCTTGTGTTGAAGGAAACATTGAGACGTACCAAGTCTGAATGAAATCGAATGTTAATTGCGCGTTTTATGAGCTTCATGGATATTCGAAACTGTGACCCTTTGTTGGGGAGGTACCAGAAGGAGTGAACCGATATCTTCCATCTTCACAGCAGATCTTATATTAGTATAAATAATGGGATGTGTAAAATATGAAGAGAACCGGATGCTTATTTCGGATTTTATGATCGTTTTGGTTATTCAAAACTATGAACTCTATGTAGGAGAGGTACCAGAAGTAGTACTCCGATCTGTACCATCTTTATACTAGATCTTGTTTTGATGGAAATATTGAGCTGTACCAAATCTGAATGAAATCGGATGTTGATTTCGCGTTTTATGAGCTCCATGGATATTCAAAATTTTGAGCCTTTGTGGTGGAGGTACCGCGGAAGGAGTGAACCGATATCTTCCATCTTCACACCAGACCTTGGGTTAATAAAAATATTGGGATGTGTGAAATTTGAAGACAATCGGACTCTTACATCTCGTTTTAAAAGACTTATAATTATTTGACCCTTTGTGGGGGAAGTACTTGATGGAGTGGAGAGATATCCATTTTCGCATCTGACGTAGAACTGACGCAAATACTAGGATTTGCAAAGTTGGAGAAAAATCGGATTACCGTTTCTCTTTCTGTGCAGAAAATATATTTTTTTTTTTTTTGAAAATGACGACCTTTTGTGGGTGAGGTACCATAAGGAGCGGACCGGCATATTCCCTCTTAATACCAGACCTTGGGTTAATAAAAATATTGTGATACAGGCGTAATTTGAAAACAATCGGACTCTTACATCTCGTTTTAAAAGACTTATAATTATTCAAAATTTTGACCCTTTGTGGGGGAAGTACTTGATGGAGTGGACCGATATTATTCATTTTCGCACCTGACCTAGCACTGATACAAATATTAGGATCCGCAAAGTTCTAGCAAAATTTGATCATTTTTAATTTTTTTTTTTTTTTTTTTTTTTTTGTTAATTGTCGACCTTTTTTGGGTACGTACTTAACCGATATTGTCTATCTCCGAATTCGATTTAAGTTTGACAAAAATATTACGATGTACCAAGTCTGGACCAAATCGAATACTCCCTTCGAGAGTTATCGTGAACACCAGTCAGACAGAAACAGATAGACGGACGGACATAGCTAGATCGACTACAAATTTTCGAAAACGAATTTCTGGAACAGAGCAGGTATTCTAGTAGTAGCTATAATAGAGGTTTCTAATAATTGATTCCTATATGGGTCCTCTATTTGCTCCTATTTAGCTTTTATAAGATTTTTTGAAGATCCATGCCACATATTTAGCTGATAAGGTTATTTTATTCGAGATTTGAGATTTTCAGAATTCTCAGAAAAATTGGGAGACGCGTTTTGGCCGTTTCAAATGATATATACCCACTCTAGCCATATGGCTGAGGGTATAAAAATTCCGTTATCGTAATAAAAAGTTGTAGATTCTTACAGTTCTGGAACAGAGCAGGTTTCTAGTTATAGCTATAATAGAGGTGCTCCTATTTAGCTTATATTAGCTTTTTTGAAGATCCATGCCACACATTTAGCCGTTGAGGCCATTTTATTCGACATTTGAGATTTTCAGAATTCTCAAAAGAATTCAGATTCTCAGAATTATTTGTGACATTTTTTAATACGTACCCAATAGAATCCCCATAAATGTTCAGTCCGAATTTAAATTATTTTTACTAACACATGTCAAAATAATTTTAGAACCGCCTCCGAAAACAATTCCGAATTGTAGTTATTTCCCTTAAAAAAAACTTTCGTCCTAAGTTCCTACTTTTTTTTAAACCTCACTCCAAAATACTAAATTAAAAAGCCAATCCTCAATATTTTTTTTTGGTTTTTTTTTTTATTTTTGAGAATTTAATTAGAATTTATTTTAGAATTAAATTTAATTAGTTAGTTAAATTTTAAATGTTTACATGTATAATTTTTTTGGGGGGTTTGTTGGGTTTTTGTTTTCTTTTGTTGTTGTTGTTTATTCATGTTTGTTTTTGTTTTCATTTTTCATTTATTTTTATTTTATTTATTTTTATTAAATTGTGATATAATTTATTTAAGAATTCGATCGAATTTTTTTGTTTTTTGGTTTTTTTCTGTTTTTTATTTATTCATTTTTGTTTTTGTTTTCATTTATTTTTATAATTATAATTATAAGTATATTTGTTTTGTTTTTTTGTTTTTGTTTTATAAGAGTCTAAAGTAAGAAAAAAAATGGTGACGTAGACGCAAAAAATATCTGTGTAATTTTGTTACACTGACAAGTGCTGCTGCTGCTGCTGTTGCGGCTTGTTCTTTCTTCTCGTTCTCGTTCTTCTTGTTGTTGTTCTTCTTCTTCTTCTTCTTCGTCGGCTTCATCTCTCTTCTCGTCCATCATCCTAGGGTACGACCCAATACGGAGCATATTCGATTCGTTCTTTTGGATGTTCTTCTCCTCGCCTGTTGGCTTTCGAGTTGCGGAGGAGTAGTGTCGGGGAGTAGAGTAAGTGGATATAGAGAGAAGGGAGTTCCTTAAGAAAGTTAAGAAAATTGTTGTTGTTCTCGGTTCGGTTCGGTTGTGTTATGTTATGTTGTGGGCCGGGTACAGCAGTATCTGCTGATCTATGGCCGGCTGGTTTTCTGCTGTTGATGAGCGGTTTAGTCCATTCTCAATGTTGCTGCTGCTCTTCTTCACTTCACTTCTCGTTACAAAAAAAAAAAAATAATTTAAATAAAATAGAATTGTGGTAGTAGTTGTTGTTGTTGTTGCTGCTGCTGCTACTGTGATGTTGTTGTTGTTGTTGTGTTCTTCTCAGCTTTTATTACAAAACCAAAAAAGTTATTCGATTTTTCTCTGGATATTCTCTTCGATAGTCATCATCGCCATCAAATGTCAGTGATTATCATTGGGAGGGCAGCAATCACGGCGTAGTGTTGTTGTTGTTGTTGGCCGCCACAATCAGTTGTTGTTGTTGTTGCACTTGATGCTCTATTCTCTTCTCGTTTCCAACGTCGGCTTATTCTCTAAATGTTGTTTTGTTCATGGTGTTGCTCATATCTCTGCTCCATCATCATCATTGAATTGTTGTTGTTGTTGCTGCTGCTGCTGTTGTTGTTGTAATAAATAGTAAATAGTTGTGTTGCTGTTGTTGGTGTGTCGACAGTAGTCTTTTTTTTCAAAATTTATTTTAAACGGCATTTGGTAGACAGCTTGTCGTCGTCGTCGCGTTGTTGTTGTCATCGTCAAAGTCTTTGTCATTAACGTCGAAGTTGTAGTGCTGCTGCTGCTGATGTTGTTGTTCATCATGTTACTGCGGCTGCTGATAATGTTGTTGTCGTCATCGTCGTTGTTGTTACTGTTACTGTTCATCGTCGCTGTCACTGTCGTCGTCATCGTCGCCATCGCCATCGCCATCCAATTACTTCTGCGATGTAAAATCAAATGTCGTTGCTCCACTCACTTTGCCCGAAGCGCTGCGATGGAAATGAACGTTCTGCCATTTGCTGTCGCGTTTATGCCAGACACGTGTCTCCTCCGACTGATGGGTGTGGGCATGGCCCTGTTTATCAATATATTGTGTTAAGCGTACATAAGCAATACAAGCGGCATCCTCGCCCAGCAAGTGGACGTGAGGATTGAGAATTGTGGTATTGATAGCTTTGCAATTTTTGCCCAAAACATTTTCGAAATAGAATTTGTGAAAGTCAATTCCTTCGACCAGATTACCCAGGGCCTCAGGCTCAAACGCAGTCAAGTGCGGATCACCGATTTTGGTGTATGCATCAAAATCCCCACTGTTGATGGCCTCAATCAGTTGTTCGGTGATCTTGATTATCTCCTGGCGACGGGCCTTGACGTCGTCATCCTCGAGGGTGGCATTGGACGAGTCTGTGGAGTCTTTGACGGGCGAGCCCTCGCCCTTCTTGGTCACCATGCTCTTGCTGGAGAAGTTCCGCGTGGCCAGCATCGTGGTGAGGATGGCGCCCTTCAGCTTGCGCCGAGCATTGAACTTCTTGAGGCAATCAACAGTTTCTTGGCGGTGAACCACGGAGGCGACACGTTCGCGTTGGCATATCCAGGGATGTTTGAGGGCTTCAGCAGCTGTGATACGTTTGTGGGGATTGACGGTAAGCATTTGATTGATTAGATTTTTGGCTTCTGGTGTTACCGTATCCCATTCGGGCGATGGATAATCATAAGCTCCAGCCTTGATTTGGGAATACAGGCGGTGTTGGTCCTCATCCCAAAACGGTGGATAACCGACCAGGAGAATGTATAAGATAACACCACAAGCCCAAATGTCCACCGGTTTGCCGTAGGGTTCCTTCTTGAGCACCTCGGGCGACAGATAGCCCGGAGTGCCGGCAAAACCAAACCAGGCCTGATGATCCCCCTGCACCTCAATGGCCAGCCCAAAGTCGGCCAGTTTGACAGCGGCACCCTTCGCCTTGCTGGCCAGCAACAGGTTCTCCGGCTTCAGATCCCGATGTACGACGCCATTCTGGTGGCAGTGATTAACGGACTCCAATATCTGCTGGATACAGTGCGATGCATCGGCCTCCGAATAGAATTCGCGTGCCACAATATCCTCGAACAGTTCGCCGCCTGTGACCAAATCGAATACCAGATAGTGATAGTTCTCCTCCTGTATGCTGTCGTGCAGTCGCACTATGTTGGGATGATGGAGTTTGCGGCAGATTCTCGCCTCGCGTTCCAACTTCTGGAAGTCGCGTGCGGTCAATTTCTTTGTATTGATGATCTTGGCGGCGAATTCATTTCCTGTCGATTTCTGTACGCAACGTTTCACAATGGAAAATGCGCCTCGGCCCAGCTCCTCTTTGATCTCATAGTTGTCCGAGAAACGCGTACAGGCTGCAGGAGCAGCCATCGCGATGGCACACTTCAGAAAATCTATTGCGGCAATGAATCCAGAGACCCCTTAGCGAGAAAGTCGTTCACAAGGAGTGGGAGGAGAAGGGAATTCCACAGCGAACAGTGAGTGAGAGTGTGGGTGAGCGAGGAGTTGTAATCTTGCTCTGAGAAGAGTTTTTTCTGTTTCTTTTTGGAAATACGAAGACTCGATTTTCTTTTCTTTGGAAATTTTCAAATCCTTTCCGAATGGAAAATTCAAAAAAAGGACCTGCTGCAGTCACTCAATGTTAGCGCGATGTTGGCTGGCTAGTCGTCGATACAATTGATTTTTAACACTGTTTTTCTTCTGCGTCTTCTTCTTCTTCTTGTTCTTCTACTGCCTTTTCTGCTCTTCTATTTGTTTCTCTGTGTGTGACTGGCACACCTCCTTGTCGTATGGATTGGTGGTGGCGGCGACGTAGGCCCTAATGATGGTATGATGTTGATGGTGGTGGTGAGTGAATGTCGTCGTTGTCGGCACACCAGGCACTTCTCCGCTGGCGCTCTTCCACTCTTCCGCCGTGACAAAAAAGAAGAACTAAATAAAAATCACTCGGCTCTTTTTTTCGGCTGGTCTGTCGTCGTATGTATGTGAGTGAGTGTGTTACAGCTTTCTCTGCTACAGCTACAAAAATCAACGACGGCGGCTACTGCTTCGCTCGTTCGTTCGTTCGCTCGCTCGCTCGATGGCTGGCTTGTCTCAACTCCAACTGACCCAGATTCAGGGGGAAAATGTGAATAACGGAAGTGTATGTATATGTAAATTCTAATCAGTCCTTGTCCTGTAATGATTTTTTGATTTCGTATTCGCACCAAACCAAATTGGGATTATGGGTCCAATTGGGTCGCATTGATGAATTTCGCCCGAATCGATTTGAGTCCGATAGATATTTGGTGGTTATATTTTGGCAAAAATGAAAAGAAACAAAAAGAGAACAGAACGACACAATACCAATTGATTAATGGAGAGATTTTGTAAAGTTTTTTGTTTTTTTTTTTTTTTTTTAGTTCAACTGCTGGTCTACTTTTTTTGAGCTTTAACTTGAGGCCAGGAAGATATGGTTGGTTGGATGGATGGATGAATGGTTAAATGAATGATTAATTTATTGATGACGAAAAAAAATGAAAATGTGGGGATTTGGAAAATTGGGAACAGCTTTTGAAGGAGACCAAGTTTTGATTCGTTTTTATTTTTTTATTTTTATTTTCCTTACCGTTCAACAGTTTTGTGTGTATGTGTGGCTCTTTTCTTGACTAGCGGATGGCTACAAAAATGCTTTTCTAAATTTTCAGGTTCTTGAGGTTGTTGTTCACTACTACTTTTTATATTTTTTTTCAATTTTTTTCTAATATTATTTTTATTGTTTTTTTTTCTAGTTTTTTTGTTCTTCTGTTAAAAATATATTTTAAACTAGAGAGTACTAGAGTACTACTACTTTTAATCTTTCTTTTTCGACACGAACGAAGCACACTTAACACACAGAGCAGAGAAAAAGTTTGTATCTACATTTTCCAACTTTGCGATGCGTTTCCTATGTGAAATTTTCCTTCTCGTAGTTATCGCAGTTGGAGCGCAAAGAAATGTAAAGACCGCAGCGCGCGCACTCACACACCGAAAAACACGCTCTGGATGGTTATGGCGTTGTGGATGGATGGTTGGCTGTATGGTGAGAGAGAGACAAATACGCACAAACACACATACACACACAATGTGGAAAAAACACACGGTTGGGAAATTTTCTACTTATTGGACTTTTCCTTTAGCTGTCGCTCCTTTACAGTCTCTGGCTGATGATGATAATGCGCAGAAGCAGGCATGAGAGGGGTTTGCCAACTGGAAAAACTTGGTTACTCTGCACAACAACCACCAAGATTATTGGCCATCCCCAGGTATGGGGTGAGAGCGAATCGTGTTTTGCCTGATTGAATAACAGTTAGCTGTTGCTCTAATATAACCGCTATTTGTTCCCTTTGGCTCTCTCTCTCTCAAATAAAATATGGTTGGCAACTCGTATGTTGTACGTAATTTAAGGGTATTTGTATCAATGCTGCTGCTGCTTCTTCTTCTTCCGCTGAATGTAATGATAACACTCCAATGCGTTATTCTTCTTCTTCGCAATTTTGTTTAGCTGCAATTACAACCCTGCAAGGAAAAAAATAGGATATTTGTTTATTTGGTTGGCAAATCATTTGTTTTTATTTTTTTTTCTTTGTTTTTCTTTTATTTTCATTTTGGGGTAGTTAAGTATTTTTCTCTCTCTCGAAAGCCGAGAGAGACATCACGGAGCCGTAAATGCCAACACAAGCCATTGAGAACAATAACTGTAAGTAGAGAATGTGACTCTCTTTTGGGATTTGTTACCATACAACACACTCATTATTGATTATCAATAGATTTGTTGTTATTGCCCGATTAAAGAAAAAAACGAGGAAGGCAGATTAAATACGCAGTCGGTGCACAGTGTTTTGAAATGGGAAATTTTGCAACATAAACGGAAGGTGGTTTACTTAAATTGAGACAAGGATAATTAGTAGGAAAACTTTGATGAATATATTCACAAAATTAAAAAAAAAAAACTTGAGAATGTGAAAAATGTTAATCCTCAAAAAGATATTAAATCTAGCAACGCAACAGGTGATACAACAGCTCGGCTCATTTTCTGGCTTTGCAAATGTCAAATTATAAAGGTGCCTCCAGGCCCATCCTGGAATTCTAGAATTCCGGATCTGGATCGAATTCGGAAATCTCCGAATTACCTTACCTTCCCCACAAAGAGTCAAAATTTTGAATTTTGCCGCACTGTGAGACAAAATGTAGTTTTGATAGAGCTTTTTAAATAACCCCAAATAAATAACCAGTTGCATCCAAGGACAGACTGGGCGGACACAGTGAGAAAATCCTCGACCTCATGAAAGAGATCATAGCAACCAACTCCAGCATAACGGACCGAACCGACGTCTTAATAAAATACCTCACCTTCACAGGCGACGACTTAAATGAGATCATAATTCAAGGTAAGTCATCGGCGTTTGACCTTACTCAGCTGTTGTGTGAAGATCTCTGAACCTGTGGATCTTATATCGGTAGTAGCCGCTAAATCGAAACTTCCGAGGCAAAGTTCAGTTGAAGTCGAGAATGATGAAAAGTCGAAAGAAAACAACGGCACTGACGCTAAGAAAGTTCGAGGTGTAAAATTCTACAAGAATTCCGAATGAATTGGAATCAAAATTTGCAAGAAAATCCCATATATCAAGTCCACGATTAGGCTCGTGAGAAAGTACGAAAGAACTTATCCAAACGCGAATTTTTGGTGGAAAGGATTCTCCGTTCGGAAAATAGGACTTCTCACAACACAGCTTAGGGAGCAACAGTTTTGCAGAGCACGAAATCGGAGCCTAAGGCAAGCCAGAACACCGGAAACTCTTCACAGTAAATCGGCTGTGTCTACGCCTAAGGGGTCTGGGTGGCCAAATAGTATAAAGGCTGCAGCTAATTCAGCACCAAATGTGTAGCCTGAGGGTAAGCAACCGAACATAGCAGTAATTCTCCCCACCACATAGCTGGTAAACGGTAAAACCGATTGGAAGACCTTCGCCTTCGAGAGTTCCCTCTCATGCATAGACAAGATACTCTAGCTGTCTCATATGCAACTTCTCTTGGATAAGGTGGTAAAGAAAAGTCGAGTATTGTAAATATCAAGGCTACCACAGGAAATACTGCTTCGAAACCCACAAATCCAAATAGTTGCTTCATCTAGTGGTGAAAAGGTGGGGAGCTGTGTAGTAGACAGGAAGGAACTTGATTTTATATATCTTCCCAAATGTAGTAATGGCGATATGGTGGTATGGTACGGCTAAAGGAAACCGTTACAAAACAGCCACTTTGCTATCCTCAATTTATATGCTATATGAGGACCCTGACACGACAAGTCAATGTGAGTGCGATATGAACCGCACTAATAAATTCAAATGTAGATTTCATGTATTTTTCAGATTTTTTTATTTTGCATGTTTTTACATCGGAAAATAATCTTAACAGACGGACAAATCATTTTTGGCATTTTCGGAATAAGATTTCTTGGAGCCCGTTGTTTTAAGAATATAGTATCTTCAGCAATATTGTAGATAAAAATGCGAGGATTTGATCGAAAATCCAAAGCCTCAAGCTAGGCACACAGGGGTCTTTTTGGTTCTTAGGGTAATGAAATTCTATTTTAGGTCTTAAATGGTACTTTATATGCGTTTATGCAAAAATCTCCAACAAAAAATTTCAAGTGGACTTTATACAACTCGTTTGTAGATCAAAATGCGAAAGGACTTTTCCGTTCTTAGGCCTAACGTAGTTATGTTTCCGACTGTATACAAAGAGGCTCCCAAAGTTTGAGATATACGTATAGGACCAGGTTTTGGTAAAAATCGTTTTTGTTTTTAGGGTAGAAAACCTCCCGAATAATTTTTAGTAGTATTGTTTGTATAAATTCAGAAAAGCAAGTCCCTAAACTGGGTTTTAATTCCAAGGTTATTTTGATGACAATTTTTAATACAAAATAATGGGGGAAACGTTTACCTTTAACACCAAAAAGTCTTTGAAGTTTACCTAGGAGGATGTTAGTAAAACCATTGCACATCCAATTTTTTGTTCAAGAAACCAATAGTGACCTCAATATCTAATTTCAGAATTTCAGCTCTCTCCCTTTACCCAATACCAAACTTAATAACATTTAGTGCTCATATCCAAACCAACAGTCATCCAAAATTTGTACAATTCAGTACTTTTCGAGCAATTATTGATACATTTGCAAAACCACCAACAGATACCTCAATATCAAATTTCGGGATTCCACTTCTATACATTCACCCAATATCCAATACAGTACCACTTAGTACTTTTCAAATAATTATAGTACACATTTCCACCAAATACCGAATGTAGTACAGTTTAGTACTTATCGCACAATTATGGTACACATTTCCAAAACCACTTCCATATCTCAATTCCAGATACCAACAGAGACCTCAATAACAAATTTGAGGATTCCAGCCCAAATGTGAGGATTCCAGCCCTATCCCTTTACCCAATACCAAATTTAGTACCATTTAGTAATTTTCGTACAAATATGGGACGTATTTCCAACCACCGGCAAATCTCAAAGGCAGACACCAAAAGTGGCATCTATATCAAATTTCACAATTTTAGCTCTATTCCTTCCACAATAACAAATTTAGTACTTTTCGTACAATTATATTATTATATCTCAATTCCAGATATCTCAATATCAAATTTCAGGATTCCAGCCTTATCCAAATTTAGTATCATTCACTTGTAGTGCACATTTCCAAAACCAACTTTAATTCTCTATCCTTTACCCTAACAATGGCCCTAATGTCCGTATTTCAAGCAATATCAGTACCATTTAGTACCTTTCGTACACTTGCTGAACGAATTTCCCAAACTCACTCTTTATCTTAACCTATCCACCAACAATGATCCCAATACCAACATTTCAAATTACCGACTTCTTCCGGTCACCCAAAGTGGAATTGTACCAAATTTCGTAGCATTTCGTACAACTCTTACACCGCGTACATATTTCTAAAACCTCGTTCTTACATCAACCCCATCTCCAAGCCTTGATGTTCATATAATTCTCATAATTCCGAATGGTACCAAATTTAAGACATTTTAGTTTTGTTAGAATTTGTTTGAATTTCGAAAAAGTCCTTTTTTAGTATGTCTGTCCTACGCAACTTGAAATACCCTCACTCAAATCAAATTTCAAGATTTCCAGCTTCCAGTACTTTTCTTACTTTTTAGTACGTATTTCCAAATCCCCCGCTATGTATCAATTAAAATGCAAAAAAAAAAAAGAATTTAGTACCATTTAGTACTTTTTGGTACGTATTTCAAAGCCACTTCCACATTTCAGCCCACAACACACTTTTAACAACATTTTAAATTTCCAGATCAATCCGTTCGGCAAAGCCAAAATGTAACGAATTTAGTACTATTTAGCACAGTTGCTGTTTTATTTTTTTTTTTTTTTTGAGTTTCATTAAAAGACCAATAATGGGATTAACCGGTATCATATATCCGGATACAGATTTTAAATATTACTTTTGACCACTAAATCGGGTAGGAAGTATCAATTTTTTTTTGTAAAAACTCTTCGATTATTTCGACAATTTTTTCCAGAGGTAGTTTGTTTTTACCCTGATCCCGGGAAATTATTTTTTCTTGGGGGACGGATCTGGGTCTCCAGATTTTTGATCCGAAAGTCCGGGTCTGGGCCCTTTTTCGAATTTTTGGGGGTTTTATAAATAATCCGGGTCCAAAAAATCAATAATTTGACTATAAAATCTGGAGTCCCGGTTAAAAATCTGGAGTCCCGGGTCCGTCCCCCAAGAAAAAAATGTTTCCCGGGATCGGGGTAAAAATATCTACCATTGAGAGTTTTTACTAAACTATAGTTAAGCCTAGATGACTTTGTCTCCTCAGAACTTCCAAGTGAAAGTAGATCCTCAACACATAGTTTCCTTTATAAATAAGTTTCCTCTTTAATTCCCGATAACCGGCATGGTCGTGCAACACTGTGCCACCTTATAATACCTCTGCTATCTTATCGAGAACAACCGCTGTCAGCCAATGGGCCACCTTAACCAACAACACCTTCCGAATACAATATTGGCCGTCAAGGACGGTTTTAACTGCGGCCAAGGAGAGACAAATCAACCAAAAATTGAAAATGTGAAAAACCGCAAAGCAGCACCCCAATAACCACAAAAAAAAAAAAAAGATATCCCCGAAAGCATGTGGTCGACGACGGTTGTCTTTGTAGTGTGTGGCCAACGAAAGACGAGTGTAAACGAGTGCGGGTTACAACTAATTTCGAATTTAATTAATGCTCTTGATTAATTTATTAACACAGTTTCTGTGGAGGTTTT